ATGAGGGTCATTTCAGCTAACTGAAGAAAGTAAGGAAATTGAAACTAGAAATATGAAGGAAGTACTTACTCTATTTCACTGTTTTTGCAGTATTTTAGTAAAATAATTTTTAACGACATTTTTAGTGTGGAATAAATTTGTGGAGATTTATTTAATTTAACTCACGGCATTTCAGTTTTTTTACCTAAGTATTTCCTTATATTGAATTTCTATCAATTGTTATTTTTTCACCTTTATATAGGAATGTGAGTGATATGTGTATAGCTAAACTACCAATTCTAATTTATGAAATTAAACTCCGTTTTGCTTTATGGGCCAAGCATTTTTCATTTACGTCATGCAGTTACAAATTATGTTTGTCCATATATTAAAGAGAAAAACATTAAATTAGTCCATGTTGCTCTGATATTTAAGCAACAATTAGGTATTGTTTATTTATTTATTTTGTGTCTCTGAGACAGTTCATCTGATAAAAACTGTCTGCTCCAGAGTTCATAGATCTCCTAAAATCCCAGAAATAGATTTTGGAGGATCTTCTTTTGCGAAGGTTAAGATCAGACGCCAGGTCTGTCGCCAGAGTGGGTAGATTTTTTTTTCTTTCGCTTCTTCACAATACACACTTTAAATATACCTAAATTAAGTACTTAATAACATAACTTGATGGAATGTGGTTAACATAATTTGATAGACATTTCTTATTTATTTTTTTAAGAAATAATATAGATTCCTATACAGAAGTAGATATTGCATTTCAAGACAACGGGATACCTGAAACAATGGTTAATAGCGAACACTATATAAAACGGGGTATTTTTGCAATGTATGTGAATACTGTCAAATTTAAATGAAAAATCATGTACGAATGTTTAATACAGCAACGCACTATATGCTATTTTACATACCTGCTGTATATACTATACATATTGTACTTGAAATAAGGTAAAGAAAAATGCATTATACTCTACATCAGGGGGTCTCAGCCGGTGGTACGCGTACCACTGGTGGGACTCAAGAGAAAAATAGGTGGTACACAAAGAAGCAAAGTATTTTTAACTATTAAATTCAAAAATGAAAACCCCAACATCCTGATTGAGTTTTTTATCTAACGCTCGTAAATTAATGCGATCTGAGCTTTGTTCAAGAGTGAAGGTTGGTAGTAGCACTTTGTAGTAGTGGTACTAAAGGTTTTTAATTTTTGTTTAGATGAGACGCGTTAGTCAAAAGGTTGAAAACTGCTGCTCTACATTATAATTTCTGTTTCATATATATACACAAAGAATTATGAAGAATTCTGGCACTCTAACCTGAATCGGGGAGGGGGAGAAACGAAGATATCTTCTTTTTGTACTGTACACTATAATGTGGTATTTCAAGGAATGGTGGAAATAAAAGTCATTCGTTTTTTTAGCAATAACAACACACTGAAAATTTTAAGCACTAGCAGCATTACTACGTTTTGGGACTATTATTGTGGTTGAAAAGTAAATTAAACATAGCTGAGCAATAAAATCACTGAATACTGGAAGTTCGGTCCGGGGTTCGAATCCCGGCGAACGGGCTGTCTGTATGGCCCTTTTTGCACGGACATTGTAGTTGTTCTTATGTGTAACGCGTATAGAGCCATTTTCTTTTAGAAAGAAAGGCCTCCACGAAGGTATATCTCCCCTTAAGGCAGATAGCACAGGAATGCTTTATATATATATATGTAACGTATCAGCTTTTGTCCGGAATAAAACAGATTGATGAAGAATCATAGATGTTGTTGTAGCTCAAAGTATCAGACGATAAGTTTAAAAAACAGGATCCATTTATTATTATTCAGGAAAAATAGCAGTTACAAAAAAAAAAAAAAAAAAAAAAAAAAAAAAAAAATCAGATCTCCGGAGTAGATAAAAAAGAACTACTAATAATTTTTTGTATGAAGTTTACTGCATCGTTACATTAAAGAAAAGACCCCGATATTCCTTTGCGAGTCCTTTTATAGCCTCTGGAAAGGCGGAGCTTCCAAGAATTGACGTCAGCCATTCCAGTTCGCTTTAAATATCTCCAGAACATTCTATAACTGTACGTGTAGAAAAGGCGGGAAAAACAACTTGACTATGGGGCTGTGGATTTAATTCCACGTACTTTCAAATAAGAGACCGTCGCCATTAAAAATGAAAAGAACATACAGTTAGAAATTTAAGTGTATTCTTGACTATGGAATTTTATTATTACAAAATTCCATAGTACAAAATTCCATAGTCATCCGCTATAAATTGCTGATGATAAATTAACGGATACGGGACACGGTTTTACTTTTGCAATAATTTCACTACTTTTAAGGTAACATGACAAAATTTATTCCTAAAGTTTCATTTCTATGGGAATATAAATATCAGTGGAATGCTGGTAACCAATCAATATCACTTTTAAATGAAAAAGAAATAAAAATATTTGCATTCTTTCCTGTCTGGTATGTATTTCAAAAGAACTCGATTTCCAGTATGTGAGACTTATCAATCCATACTTAATTTACTTATCGCTTGTCATCCGAGAGAATATATTTCTCATTATTAAGAAAAAAAAATCCGTTTCGATAATTTTATCTTATTCTCATATATATGGGTAAATAATATATATTTTGTTGCGATAAAATCAGATTCGCTCTGAAAATGTGCAAGTTTTTGAAAACTTCCAGGTTTTGCGAAATCTTAGGAATTTGCTGCCGCGGGTTTTTTTAAGCTCCAAGTTTATTTTTTCTTTCAGAGAGGGAATAGGTGATTGACTCTTCGACGAAACGCAATCTTTTGCTTTTCTAAAATGGGCTTTCTGAGAGAGCCCTGTGCTATTTACAGCATATTTTGCCGTAAGAAGCTTTCTAACTATTTTCTTAGAGAACAGCATAATAGGTAACTAACTTATCATTCAAGAGAAAAATTGAGTATGATGCCACCGATTTTGTAATAATAAAAAAAATAATTAAAAACAGACAAGAAATTATTACATTGAAATTAGGTCTGTTTCGAAGGAAAACGATTTTATTTGGATAATAAATCGGCACCTTAATTTTTATATAAAACTCTGACATCGTCGGCCTTTTTGCAGAACACTTGGTATTTTATTGTTGTTTACTTCCTTGTACGAAGTAAAGGAAGTATTGTAATCGCGAAAAATTTCGGGTATCAGATTTCAACGAAAATATTCATTTCGATCGCTTTCGAATCTATTTGAAAGCTATTGTGCCTGACATCTGTACGTACGAACAGAATAAAGAACTCTTTTTTCCAAAACGGGTTGTAAAATGGATTCAGAAGAGACATTTTCGTTACTTTTGTAGGTACTTACGTACGTAGGTATGTATCGCACATAACTAAAAAATCGAGTATCCTCAGAACGTTGAAATTTTGTACATGAGACTGTAATCTGCATGCAATAGTTGTAGAATTATCAATAATTTAAAAGTTGTATTAAGTGCTATTAAGCCTAAAGAAACTGCCATTTGTTTACATTGAAACTCATAGTAGAATAGGCCCACCAGCGGCCGAGCGGTAAAGACGCTGAACACTGGTAGTTCGGTCCGAGGTTCGAATACCGCGAACGGGCTGGCTGCATGGGCGTTTTCGTGGTTTTTCTCATGTGTAACGTGTATACGAGCCAGTTTCCCTTAGTCCTCCACGAAGGCGCATCCCTCCCTTTAGGCAGATAGCCCTCGTGTGCTTTGCCATAATTAAATAATCAAACCCAATCCGTAGTAGGATAGTGAATTACATCAGTTTCTGCACCAACTTCAGTGTCTTTTTGCCGAAAGTAAACTTTCCATTTTATGCTTTGAAAAATCTGTCTTCTCGTGCGCTGGCCGAATTGCTAGTTTTTGGGATAGAAACTCTAATTTTACTTGTCATATTTTTTTAAACTGTTTTTAACTATATTTGGAGTTTTATATTTTTCTGTATTTTATAATTTTTAAATGAAGATATTTGGAATTTTATATTTTTCTGCATTTTATAATTTTTAAATGAAGATATTTTGAGTTTTTACGTATTTCTGCTTTGCTTCGAAATGACAACTAAAATAATTGAATCAGAAATGTATGTCTAATGAAATTGGAGGGAATAAGTTTAAATGAAATGCAGCCAAAAATGTGTATGATTTAATAGGTCGTAGTAGTGTCACGTGGTGCCCACATCAGTTTTTGTTTAATAAAGTGCACGTATCTTATTATTTTTTTATAAATTACTTGCATTACTTTAATAATTAAACTGCTTCATTGAACTCAATTATGAATAACGTTCGGACGATTTTACTTTTGTTCTAAAATTTGAAATGTTAGGACTCTCCACTGGTCTGTAGTAGATTTCATAATCTTATTTTATTTCTAAATTTTATTTTATACTTTTAAATCGAGAATGTGTCAGATTTTCTTCAAGCTTTCCTTAAGTATATATATAATAAAAGCAAACTTAGAAGTATGGATGTTTAAGAAGTATTGATAGCAGAGAACGTAGAAACATAGTTGTAGATCCGTAATGAAGAGCAACTTGGCAGTCGAGGCAGAAAAAGTATTCATCTTTATTTTAAAAAAACATGTTGCGACGCGACCACAAACAGGTTGGCACATTTCTGCTGTCTATTTCAAAATATTAACATTTTTGACAGCTTTGCAGCAAGAAGAGAGCAGCAAGCAGCAGTTCATTTAAGCCGAACTGTAGAAAGCAAATGCGTTGTGTTCAAATGTTTTAATTCGGACTGAGATACTTTTGGTTCTCAGTACATTTTGATTGGATAATTAACACTGCTGTAAAATTATTATTGGCTGTGTTAGTTCCATTTACAAGCGTTATGTAAAAGTCATATGATATGGATTAGTCTCGAAAGGACGCTTTGCAAAGAGAGATTACTATTTTTAGATTAGAGAGGAGAAAGAAATTTAATTTAAGCATTAAGGGGTTATTGCTAATTTAAATAGTAATTTATCGTTTAGATATTTTGTTTATCTTACATATATTTTTTTGTTTCAGGGAAACAAGAGCTTACCGGAAACGTTATATCGGAACACGTCTTTTGTCCAATAAGCGGGAAATTCCGCTTCACTTATACCGCAAGGAACGGAGAATTCCGATGCGACCAGACTTTATCAGAGCTGTCGAACTGTCCTTCAAGCAACACACTGGGAGTCAAATTTCGACAGTGTTCTTTTCCAGACATGGGTAAACCCTTATATGCATATTGCTATTCGTTTTCTCTAAACTCTGAATAAATATCAGTGTCAGTTATTATGTGTTAGATGGCGTATTTTGAATATTAGTAATTTCAAAAATATTTCCTGAAATATCTATAATTTTTTGCTAATGTGATGTTATTTTGAGGAATATTTGCTTTCATGTTTCAGAAAGCAAATATTCCTGATTGACGGAGTTACTGACGGAAATTTGCATTTAAATATTAATTGTAATACGTGAAATGATTTTTGGATAAAGTGCAGAAATGACTGTAAATATCCTTTGAAGACGCTCACAATTTTAGATTCAGAACTGCATATGTCTTTTTCTTTTCTTTCTCTCCCCCATTGGCAGAATATTATTTCTACCCCAAATCCTTTTTTTTTTTTTTTAAACCTCAGTCTGTAATTTTAGAAATGAATGAATGATCAACTTCTGAAGTCCCCCCTTTTGTTTTCTTTTATAATTCCTCAACTTACAGTAAATTTTATGATAAAGCAATGGTGCGGTAGTACTTATATGGCTGAGGTATATTTCATATGTTTTTTTTATCTAATTAGTTATTTGAGAATTAAAAGTATTTTTATTTTCACGTTCATTGTTATTCATTTGATGTCACAAAATGTAGTGCTTCCATACCGCACAGACACTATACATTTATAAACATCCATGCCTTTTCCGGGATTCGAACCCTGTCCGCATATGAGCATTCTGTACCGCACCACGCACACAGGGAAAATCCTTTCTCGTGATTGGATGTAGCTTCTGATGGCATCATTTCCTCAATGCTTAGGAAAGCCTTTACTTAGCTTGGGCTCGAGGGTGGTTTGTTCACATTCTGATAGCAGTACCGAAAAGATTACTACGTGCGTTGTATTTTTGTTGCTATGAGTTTACACTTCTTACAATAGTTCTGTAGGTGTGGTGAATTTAATAATAAAAAAATGTGGTTATTCTCCCTCCCAGAGAGAAAAAAATATTATTTGTTCTTGTACTAACTCCGTACATGTGTATTAATATTAAGTGCGAAATTTTTAATAAATGTGTTCTTAATTTAAAACACTTCATATTAAAAGTGTTGTGATTATCAATTTATTATTTCGTGTTCATTATATATCATTCTTTGCAGACGCAATTTTCGAAAGCATGAGACTAAAGTGTAACATCTTTTGTACCTTTGCATAAAGTAGTGTCTGTCAGAGAAGGAAGTTTTTTTTCTTATCCACGTGTATTAAATTCAACGACAATACTGAATGCACTCTTTTCTTTCATTTAAGGCAACAGAATATTAGAAATGACACTATTAACATAGAGATAACATGCCATTTGCAAAAGAAATGTTTTCTGCAATGTGAAAGGAACAGAATGCAAACAAATTGCAATAATAATAATGTACTTACAAGCGCACAATACATTTATTGTTAAATCAAGAATTTTTAATAAATGTATATAGGAATATTTGCTTTCATGTTTTATAGTCCATGGTCGTGTTTTGGTTTTTGCACTGAATTCATGAACTAAGCTACTTATATAATCTAAGCGCTTAAGATTGCTTCTGATATTAACCGCATCTTTGAAAGAGTTTATAATTTTATAATTATCTGAAACAGGAAGCCATCTTCATAACGCTGCAGCTAAATGTTTTCGTTTCAAAGAAAATAAACGACAATTTTCACGCTTCTGAACGACGAAGAAAGAAAATAAACGACGAAAGAAAACAGACGATAATTTTTATGTTTCCGTATTACTCATGCGCGTCATTCATTGAAAACAAAACCGTAAGAATCCCGTCTAAACATCATTACGCCAAGAAAAAAATGATGGAATCGGAATGTATGTCCAATCACAAGTACGGATTTTTCCTTATGCGCTTGGCGCGGTACAGAATGCTTATATGCACCCGGGCCCCTCTGTACGCTAACCACTATCCTAGTTGGGCGGGTTTTCCGAAAATGTATATTAGTTAAATGATAGTACTGAAGTTTGCTCTTTGAATGAAGAAGTATTACATGTTGACTGGATTTACTGATACCTTGCCAGTCTTCAATGGGAATTAAGTTTTAGAAATGAATTGTTTATTTTAACCGTAACGATAACGAATATATATATAGAAATGAACAATTTTAAGGTTAGCCTTCAGAGAGTTTATCCAAGACTACAGCACAGATAAGACGTGTTACTTTTGTGTAAGTAAATATTAATAAGTTTATTAATAAGTTATTAGCATTCTTGCGATGGTTTAGCTGTTACAATTGTTATAGCCGTAAGTCGTATCAATCATCAACTTCGCTCACACCTGTGGAACAGGGTCTAAGCTGTTGCCAATAAGACAAAGTAAATTTGTGTATGCGTGTAAATGTGTGGCTTACTCAGCGAAATTATTGACTGGAAGTTACTTCATGTTTGCTTCGCTGTGATTTATCGATTCTCGTGTCATCTTGATGTAAAGTTGAAAAGATAGAACATTTAGACAAAATCATAATACCAGTTGCCGTGACGTGACAAAGTTAGTTGCCAAACAACTAAGTTCTGCTTATGTCACTTGTGACCGTAAAGCTCTCGTGTGAGTTCTCCATTAATTTTCTGGGGAGAATTTAGTTTTTTTCGTGTCAACTCTTGAACAATACGTTTCCTCAGCATTTACGTTGATTTAAAAAGATCTAAAATGCAATTCAAATTATTTTTTCGAATTATATTATGAAAATGAACCCAAAATTTAGAGTTTTAATTATGTACTTCATTTACTAATATTCATTTGCATCTTTTTAATAAATACAGGTGTATTTTTAAAAACTTAAATTTTTGCATTTAGTAAAAAACAACTATTTTTTATATCTTTTTATTATTATTATTATTATTATTATTAAAATGCAGATTTGAAGTTTGCTTTATTTTAAAAATTTCTTGTATTAAGTAAAGTTTTTTTTTAATCTTTTCTTTTAATATTGTAAGGATTATGTTAATTTTATTAACAGTTAAATTTTTCCTTTCCTGTCGATTCTTAACTTCAACTTACTACTTCCGGCCAGAACGTAGTTTTAGAATCACGTCTGAATGCATAACGAGGAAGAGCGGTATTTAACCGCGAAATTCTTCGGTCTTAGTGAGAGAGATACCAGGTATTCTGGCTGCACGCGTCCGCGTTTTTTAGGCTACTCTCTTGTAAGCTATTATTACGCTCGGCCGTACTTTAGGCCCTTGATAGCTTCGCAGTCTATTAACGTTAAGGGGCCAAATCTGGTAGAGTCTTGATAGCTTCGGCTACATCTCTTTAGTTAAGATTAGTTTAGTATTATTCTTAGTCTCTTAAGTTCAAAGCCCAAGTGTCGGATTTATTGTACACTCCAAAACGGAGTTTTGTTAAATCTTATTTTGAATAATAAAGGGTTATTTTACGCTTCCGTTTTGTTGTTTCCTGTCACACGAACTCAAGCGATTATTCGCTTATCAGTTCTTAAGATTCTTCCTGTTCAACAGTAACTCAGCATTACACTGTGAGGAGCTCTGGAATATATTTAAGAAACTTTTAGGATTCGTATTTTAAATAAATGGAAATTCTTCCATCTCAGTTTATTATTAATTATCGTATTCTGTTTACTTTAACTTCTTTTAAGGCGGTAATTCGTCGTGCAGTCAGTCTCTGGTCATCTGATAACGTGGCACAAAATAAAAGGCTGCTAAAGACAACAGAAGCATTGACCACAAAACTTTAAATTAAACAGAGCTTGAAAAAAATAAATCATATGATCAGATTTTTCAGTTAAATTGTAACTAATCTTAACCTCGAAGATTGCAGTTCAGCTGTAATACGGATGATAAAATTATTCAACTACATTTGTTACCATGAATTCACTCGTTTCCAGTGACTCTCGGTAGCCACGGTTGGATTACTCGAACGAATAAGAAAGCTACAATCGTTCTAAATCGGTTCTTATAGAGGGGTCATTCAGGGGTAACCGCCCACTCGTGTTACCTGGTACTCGATAATTATTTGGAGCTCTTGGCCTTATTGTATTTTCAAAATGAATTGAATTAGAAGTGCTGCTTCAGCCATTTTTCATCAGCATTGTGCTTCTGCCTAGTGAAATATTCTTCACTGTTTTGTTTCAGAGCATTTCGTGTAGAGTGTTAATGTGCAGGTAAATGCACATAAATAATTTAATAAATTGCTTTTTCTTTTCTCTTAAACATTTTAAGGTAAAAACAAGCGAACACTTATCTGATGGAATGGCATTCTAAAGAAATAATTGTTATAAAAAACACAATTCAATCACAACATTTTTTTCCCTCTCATATTTGAAGTATATTTTACGAGTTTTTAAATGTTAAACGAATTCTGTATTAAAAAAATCTGATGTGTACATCACATGACTTCCTTGTACGGAATATTAAATTATACGCATTTTTTTCTTGAATTTCATTTAAATTGATTGGATTGAATTAAATCTACTTAGTCGACAGCGCATAAACCACAATAGAATAAATGCACTCTTTAAAATTCACTATATTTGTTTACTATAACGACATTCTGAATGCACAAGATTTGTATCATTTGAAGAATTATCGTTGCCACATGTTCTATTCAAATATTATAATAAAGCTAAAACGATGTATGAAAGAAATTAAGCAAACAAAACAGAAAAGGAAGAGTTTTTCACAGAAGATTTAGTATTTCTCATTCAATTAATTCAGTTCTCACTTCGCGACAAGGCAAAAATACATAAAAACTCAAAATATCTGCATTAAAAATTACGAAGTAAATCTTAAACACTTATTTCCTCGAAAAAATTCCAGAAAGGATTAAGCATGATTTAATTCGCAATAATAAATGAAGGCGTTAGTTTTGTGTTGCGAAGCTTAGTCTCTCTTATTGGCAACAAATCTACAATTCTGCTGTTTCAAATGTAAACAAATATGTCCGCCATGTTATATAAAACTTAACCGCACTTAAACAGCTTTTAAATTGTTGATAATTGTACAAATATTGCTTCCAGAATTACGAAAGGCATAAAAATCTTAACCGGAAGATAACAACAACATAATTCAATCATTTTTAAAGCAAAAAATTTACAATTTACAAACATATAAGAGTAAAGAAACTGAGATCACTGAGTCGGGTAACAGAGTGGATATATATATAAATATATTTACATACGTTTGGTGCGGCCGGTTGCAACCAAAATACGAGGTGCACATCTACATGTTATAGCAGTCCTATATACAAAATTTCAATGTTCTGAGGCTACTCGATTTTGAGTTACACGAGATAAGTACGTACGTACATACATTCGTACAGACGCCTCGAAAAATTCTCTAATTCATTTTAAAGCAGTTTTATAATTTTTTTGGAGGAAAAAGAGTCTTTTATTCTGCCCTTACGTACAGATATCACGCAAAAACATCGTTAAATTGTATTCGATAGCGGTCAAAATGGATATTTTCGATGAAATATGTTGCCTGAAACTTTTCGCGATTGCAGTACTTCCTTTTTACTTCGTACAAGGAAGTAAAAATTAGTGAACCTTTTAAACAAATTCATTTATAAAGTATTGAAAGACAAATAGTAGGTAAAGAAAATATGAAATATTTAATTAAAAATATCCTACGGTAGATCTGCAGAGGGTTGAATTAAAAGCAATTATTACAACAAGAAATTTTTCCAGAAATTAAAAAAATTTTAATTATCCTGTCTTAGAAAAAATTGTGTAGGGAAGTAATATTGTTTCATGTTAATTGGTAGTGAAAAGCTAAAGCTGGGGAATTTTTTGCTTCTAAAGTGCAGTTAAAGTAAAAAAAAAAAAAAAAAAAAAATGTATTAACTGGAGTAACAGATAAAAATTAATAATCATCCTTCAAGTATGTTTAGTGTTCCAAATAAAACTTTTCAAGGGTTTAGTATTTAAAACATTAAATCCGGACGATAAGTGTCGAAAACATATTTCGTTCTTCGAACCATCATGCTACTCAAGCCGCTGCTAATAAATTGCCCTAAAATAGTTCCATTAGCCAAGAACTATCCCGACGTGTTGATCGGGACTCAACTTGCTTTTGTTGTTGTCTTGTCCATGTATTTCATGGAAGAATGGTTGCCAGAGCCTCAAGAAGGTCGGACTTCTACTGCCACTTCAATTTTGAGAGAAAGCAACCCGGAGGGGGCGGTCAGACGGTCTCCCATTCCCTCTTCCCTACCACCAAATCACATGATAGAACTTTCGACTCGCCTTATACTTAGAGTACCCCATGCCGCAGAGACACTATACATTTACTAACATCCATGCCTTCCTCGGCATTTGACTCCGGCCCTTCGGTACTGCAGTAGGCTCTCCTAACGAATATACAGTCTAGGTGGCTGGATTCAACTTGTCGCAAGCAAATATAAATTATTATTTCGCTCTCAGCAATAAAAATTAGTTACAGAATTCGTGTATAGACAATGTAATATAACCCTAATGTTGAGAAAAATCTATGCTTCTGGAATTGTTGGAAGGAAAGAGGCGTTTTGATTGGTTAAAACGTCTCTACTGTTGTCACCAGATACAAGATTTACTAGAGGAAAGTGAACCTAATTATTTGGAAAGAAGGGTGTTGCCATCGGTTGAAAATTTACGTCGCTAATTCTGCCTATGATGTATTTAGCGACGAAAGCATACGAAAATTATATTTTATTTTGTTAGTTGATTTCTGAAAAGATAGTCATTTGCTTATTATAATTTAAGACTAATTTGTTAACAATCTAAGCAAGAAACTAGGAAATTACAAGATTATGTAATCCTCCTATAATCATTAATTTTTTATAATTGCTTTCGTTGTCAGAAGTGAAATTTTACTATTTTTATTTGTATGTTAAAAAATATTCGTTTAATTTAATTAATTAAATTCATCAAAGTAAAGCATAATAAAAAGTTTTATTTGTATAATAATTATAATGTATATACTGCAGATCTAATTTTTGACTCAAGATCCATTCAAAGCTATTAATATTAACCCTTGGTCAAGCTTGTCTTTTTTAGTACGCTCTATCTTTTAAGAATTTCTGACCAACACATTGTTTCTATTGAATATATATATATATATATATATATATATATAATTGAAAAAGAAAATGTAAAGCGAACTGGTAATTAGACGAAAGACCTATATATATATATATATATATATGTATATATATATATGATGTATCAGCTTTAGTCGTAGCTTAAATAATCAGACGATAAGTTTAAAAAACAGAGTCTATTTATTATTATTCAATAGAAATAGCAGTTACAAAAATGAGATATCCGGAGTAAATAAAAAGAATTACTAGTAACTTTTTGTATGAAGTTTACTGCATCGTGACATTTAAGAAAAAGCCCCGATATTCCTTTTGCGAGTCTTTTTATAGCCTCTGGAAAGGCGGCGCTTCACAGAAATGACGTCAACCTCGTCAGCCAATCCAGTTCGCTTTAAATATCTCGAGAACATTCTAAAACTGTACGTGTAGAAAAGGCGGGAAAAACAACTTGACTACGGGGCTGTGGATTTAATTCTACGTACTTTCAAATAAGAGAACGTCGCCATTAAAAATGAAAAGAACATACAGTTAGAATTTTAAGCGTATTCTTGACTATGGAATTTTATTATTACAAATATATATATTCATAGATTAAAAGGGAATTAGGAATTTTATGTGAGAGTGGAAAGCAAAAACTGTTATGAATGAAAAAGTTTTCTAATTTTCGAATAATGCGAAAAACCTTTAACTTATTTGGGAAAACTGTTTAATAGCTTCGAGAAATTTTAGAGTCAAACCTGTAAAATTCAAAGAAATCTTTTACTGATACTTTTGCTATGATTTTTATTTTTTTGTAAATTTAGAAGCTAATAGGTTTTATTTTTTAGATGTCAGCTTTCGTTGCTTAGGAGATTGGGAAGGCTCGAATAACGATAATTATCTAGCTTTGATGGATTTAAGAGCCGATTCTGAAGAGAGGTCTAAATTCCGATGTGGAGTACGTAATTTTTTTAAATTCCTTTTTCTATAAGTTAATGTATTTTTTAAAATATTATACGTTCTGTAGTGGATTTAATTCAGTTTTGATGCATCTGTAGCATTTTCAGTATTTATATCTCTTTTTTTTTTTACTTGGAATATTAACTGCATTTATTTGTAATGGATAAATGAAAGTAATTTTCACATGAATAATTTTAGAACGCATGAGGGACGGTTGTAAAAAAGTCCTGAAAAGTCAAACACGCAAGACCGCTTCATAACAATACGCGGCCATAAAGGTGCCAGCATTGTTACGCAAATTGGGCATAGATCAAAAAGCAATAAAGATATTCCTCCATAAAAATGTTAGTTATCAGTTTCTAACTTGTAAAAAGCAACCTTCATCAAGACGTAAGGATACCGGAGTATTTCTCCGAAGGTTTATTTCTTTTCAAGAATTTGTTGAAGTTCATAAAAGTCCCGGCACCTTTTAACTAAACTACGCGAAGGCAGATTTCATTTGAAGACCACCAAACAAAAAAGCATCAGTTGTCCGTAATTTGGCTTTTAAAAATAAATAAAAAATTTAAAATTTGTTGTTGTTGTTTTTAATAATTTTTTTTTTTTGTTATTTTTAAATTGCTTTTAAAGTAACAATAAAAAAAATCTGAAAGCTTTCAGATTTTATGTTAGTCCAATGGGGCGTTTTCCCCCCACGTTTTGTGTATTACCTTTATTTATTAAATATCGTGTTCTTCCCACTTAAACCATAAAATTCAGTTCAATAGCAATATCACAAAATAATTTAAAAACAGCATATCTTTAGAATTTCTCGATGCAGAGTGTCTCGCGCGCTAGGAGATAAAAATTTTTCCCCTACAGTGTAATTTATTCCCCTACAGTGTTGCCATTGCTCGCTTTGAAATCGTTGAAATTTGTTCAATCAGAATATTCAGTAGATGTTTTGCAAAAATATGAAATAGATAATAAGAGACCAATTCCAAAATTCCCAATTTGGGCTTCCAGATGCCCATATTCGAGTGGAGGACTACGTTACTCAAAATTTGATGTCTCTAGATACTTTGTTTTTTCATAGTGCGAGAAACATACATGCATTCATGCAGATTCTTCATTACGTAATTTCTTTAAACAAAATGCGAGGCTCTAATATTTGGTGGCAAAAAATGGTTTAAAAAATATCAAGAGGCGTAATTTTAAAATTTGTCTCAAATGTTAAAACATGCCCTGCACGAGACGTGCTACTGAAAATAATATTTGAAAATTAAAATTATAATAATATATAAAGCTGAAAGCTTTCGGATCTTACAGGGTGTTTATAAAGTCCCGGACCCATTTTGATGTTTAATAACTCATAAAGTAATAAAGATAAATTAAAATTAGTAACATAAATGGTTACATAGACTCAAAAAGTTTCATGACCCTTGTTAATGAACTTCCACGTGTGTCCCCTTCGTCGCACGGAGAATATCAAGTCGATATTCAATTTCACGCCAGGTACCGGCAAGCATGTCGGCATCCACAGAGGCTATTGCGGTTGTAATTCTTGCTTTTAGGTCATCCATGTTAGACACTCCTGTAAACGTTGTCCTTTACAAATCCTCAAAGGAAAAAGTCCAGCGGTGTTATATCAGGTGATCTGGGTGACCAAGGAATTGGACCTCCTCGTCCAGTCCATGTTCTTGTAAAATGGTCATTCAAAGAACTACGAACGATGGTACCCCAATGAGGTGGTGCACCATCTTGTTGCAAAAAGACATGTGGCTGAAGCTCTTCTAGTTGTAGGAAATACGAGGTTTTCCAACATGTCTAAGTATACGACTGATGAATACCGTCTTTAATATAAAAAAAGAAAGCCTCCAATGACTCGGTCGTGCATTAGTCCACACCACACCATTAACCTTTGGGGAATCCTTTTGTGTCCTCACGGTATTCATGGGGGTTTTTCAGATCACCCATATGCGCACTTTATGGCGATTAACAATGCCAGAAAGATGCCAAAAACAAAAGAGAGAAAAATGAAATTAATAAGCAGACGATATTTAGAAAAGTGCAGATATTTAGACTGGGAAATGAAATTATCTGAAATTAACCACACGCGCAGACGATATTTACAAAAGTAAAGATATTCAAACCTGAAAAGGAAAATATATAAGTCATTTCATCAATAAATGCCATAAGTTTGTTTATATCTTCATTATTTTAAGAGTTATTAAACCTCAAAATGGGTCCGGGACTTTATAAACACCCTGTATAATGGCGTCTAATTCAAAACGGAATTTGAAAATTGATGCAGATATTCAAAATCATTTGACGCAAAATACCGTTAGACAATGTAACATCTTTACATTGCTACACTACCACCGTAATACCAGTAAGAAATGTAAAGAAACCTCGGATATAAAATATCCGTTCTTGAAAATGCATGTGATTGTTAATGTTAGTTTACCGCTTCGAAATCGTTGAGTTCGTTATTCAAAAATTCGTTAAAATTTTACAAAATACGAAGTAGATAATAAAACAAATTCCAAGTTTGGGCTTCCACATGCCCATATTCGAGTGGAGGATTACGTTATTCAAAATTGTATATCTCTAGGTACCATTGTTTTTTCACGATGCGAGAAACATGCATGCATTCGTGCAACTTCTTCAGTATTTAATTTCTTTAAATATAATGCAAGGCTCTACTATTTGGTGGCAACACTCTGAAAAGAGAAAAGTCGTTTATAGTGAACCAACGCAAAATGCCTGAATGAAATTAATAGCCCTTCTGGGAAAATTGTCCCTCTAGGCTAATAAATAAATAAAAGTAGAGAGATCTGGTAAATAGTATCTTTTTCTATAAATTAATTTTATATAACTTAAACAAATAGAAATTCACTATTTATGTTGTGGAACTTTATATCAATTACAGAGGCTGTTCGCACATTTTTAGACGATGTATATTGTATTCACAAAACTAAATTACATAAAATTCTTGTGTTTTAAATGTTCTATTTGACATCCCTTATCCTGAACTATCTTTCGACACCGCAATTTCCAGGATAATAATGCCTTTTGAAGTGGCAGAAGAGATATTCTATCCCATTCCTCCCGAACAGCTTTCCAGAGTCCTGTTAAGGTTTTAGGACAACGTTTGTATAATGCAGTTTTTAAAAGTCCGAAAGCACAAAAAGCCATAGGTGACACATCGGGAGATTTAGTAGGGATATCAGTGAAGGGTGATACCAGTTTTTTGTTCCGTTTCTTTTAGGAAATTTACAGTGGATTTTGATGTGTGACTGCTAGCTTTGTCCTGATGGAGTCTCACAGATGGATGGCACTGTGGGTAAAGCGATGGTATTTCATTCAGAAAAATTGGCGATAAAATATGTTTCTGATAGTATTTGGAGTTAATCTTGGCATTTGTTTGCACTCTCTTTATTTTTAACTTGCCATTATAAGAATAACCAACAACAATAATGAATTCCTTAGAAAAACTTTCTTTCGATTATTTGAACCATGTACTTAATTTTTTTTCTCCCCTTTCATGATGATAAATGGCTCTTTTTTTTTTGTTACAATCATTTAAATACACCCATGCTTCATCTATTGTGATAATTGTTTTCCATTTTTCTTTGGATAAGTGTTTCTCATATAAGAATGCAGCGTATATATCTCATATAGAATTCTGCAGCGTGTTCTGCGTTGAGCGATATGCTTTGGAAGAAGACGATGCACATTGCGTTTTTCGCTTTCTTAAGATTTAAGTCAACGTTTGTCATTTTGTTTACAGTGCATTTTAATTTTAATGATTAACGAGCATTTTAATGATTTTGCGACTGTCCTTTGACTAGGGGGATTTTCTTTTAACATTAAACAACGTACCTTTGCAATAGTCGAAGATGTCCGTTTTTAGCTTGTTTGAAATTTTTGTCCCACTTGAGGCTCCAATTTGACGTTTTTTTCCTTTCTTGTTGATGATATTACTTATCGACGCTTTAGATATCACAAAACCATGACTCTCACGTCGTTTTTGGATAACGGAGTATGCATATTTCTCTTCGGAAAGAGCGTAAATGTAGCGTCCGAACCACTGCTTTGTTAAATTCGCCATTTTGAATAAAAACAAAACTTTCAAGCCACAGACGATAATTTTGACTTTTAAAAACATAGTACAATTGCAATTACTTTTTTTGCAGCAAACGATTTTTTATTACCGCTTACCAAAATCGTCTAAAAAATGTGCGAACAGCCTCTGTAGCTGAAAGAAGACTGAGTAATTATGTAATTAGAATAGGTTGATTAAACTTCGCGGAAATTTAATTACATAATATTTGTAACTTATTTAATTGAGCATTGCTCAACAGTCGCAAGTCTGTTACTTGCAAAAACGATCTCCTTCGGAATCTTATAAGCTAATTAAACTCATTTTATTTCTTTTGCCATACAACACAATTTGACTTGGACCAGTGCCAGTTAATCAAAACCCATCGACCCACAACCTTTCTCCACCTACGAATTAAACGTTCTGCCTGTGTTATTGAAGCTGTCTGACGAGATCTAATAAACTTGCGGCCAAATGTCAACAGCCAAGCGTGATCTTTGACTAACCTCGATAACTTTCACATCAGAACATCGAGAGAAACAGCATTGTATTTGGTGACAGGAATAGGTCCCATACCTGTAGCATTGTTTCTCATCCTACATACACGAATTCATAACCTAGTATTCTGTATAGTTTTATTTTCTTTATAAACCAACATTATTGGGTTTAAAATACGCTCTATACATATGACAACAAGAGAAAATGTCTGGCTTTCCCGCGACCTTGCACCGGATTATTGATTTCTTTTATCTTAATCTGGTCTTCAACATCTCTTTCTTCTTTCATAATGATGTCAAGACTGGTTATCTATTACTGTATTTTGTGTAATACAATCTTGTGTAAAATTTCCCACAGATGTATCGTGTCGATCCTTTGACCGGCCGGGTCTTTGTTTCGTTATCAGCTGACTCTACGTGTCAAAACCAGCTTCGATCTCCTACTGATGGTTACGAATCGCTAATTTTGACGCCATGTAAGTATGTCTTTTTTATCTGATAATCCTTTGCTCACGTCTTTTGCCAGATGAAAATACTGGCGCAGTAACTGTAAGATAATATTTCAAACAACATCAAAATTTCCATTAAATATCATATGGGATGGGAAGTGGGCTTCATGATATTATATACTTTTGATATTAGAGTTATCTGTACCTTGTCTTTGCCTTTTTTCTCATCACGTTATGTTTACTATGTTATTAGGTTATTTCTTGAAAGCATAAGACATGAAAAATGAGTAATGCTCTCGCCCGGACTCGAACCTCGGATCTCTCGAATACGCGCCGAGCATGCTGCCCATTACACCACGAAGGCATGCTAAGAAGGCGGGAGAAATACCTTACATACTCCCCCTTTTAAAGGCCGAATGGGGATTAGAAGACCCAGTCGTCAAATCCTGGTGATGGAGAATCATCATCCACCACCTTTTTTAGTTCGGGTGCCATTGTAGACATCTTAGGTTATTTCTTGAAAGCAGGAGACATTAAAAATAAGCAATGCCCTCACCGGGACTGAAACGTTGGACCTCACAAATACGCGCCGAGAGTGCTGGCCATTACACCACGAAGACAAGCTAAGAAGGCGGGAGAAATATCTTATACACCTAGAAACTTAGCAAATTATCGATTTGTACGTGGGATAACATGTGCAATTTATATTTCAGACATTAACAGCAACTTTATTAATTTATAGCAAACTAAGGGAATTTTAAAAATATGTATGTACCGTATTTCCTAGTGTAGGTTCCCCTTTCTTACTAATTTTATTGACCGAAAATAGATAGCGGAAGGTTATGCGAGTAATTTTAATTTCCAAAGAACGCGGTTACAGTTTGAAAGTAACGAATCAAAAGTAGTCATGGATAAATTACTAGCAACCAACACAATATTATATCTCTGAAGGAAATTTACATCCTAATAAAAAGATATAGCAATCTCTACATATAATAAAAGAAAGAGTCTGTCTGTGTGTGTGTCGTTTGCGTTGCGCGTAAGCTAATAGACCCACGGCTACGAAATTTGTACATAGGTGCATCTAGACAAGAGCCAGTGTACCTCGAAGCGATTTTTTCGAAATTCGAATTAGAATTTTTTTTATTTTATGTTTTGTGACGAAATCGCGTCATTTTGAGACATAATGGGCTATAGGAAAGCGAGATTTTACTCTACACATTCCATTTTCACGTCGTCATGAAACGTAGGCACTTAACTATTTTACGAAATTAAAATAAATTTCGTGTTTCAATAAATCGAATTTATTTAACAAAGGGAGCTGAATACCTTTTCGACGATTTTTTTTTCTAAAAAAGTTTATTTTTAAAAATGTACAGTTTATTTTTCTTTGATTTTTGGACACGTTAAACTTTCATACTTGCGACTGCTTTTACAAAACGAATTTTGGAAAAATGATAATATTTTATATTTTTTAAAAAATTTTTTATATTAAGCTTCCGAGTACACTTCTCATATCTCACATCTTTAAAAATGTGATTTTGGCAACAGTTTTCCTGTCTTATTGTTGTTGATAGATTTTTGATGAAATCGCATAATGTATTCTTTTATGTTATTTATTGCTCATTTCACTGTTTGTGAGATATTGAAAAGTTATGAGTGATTTTTTTAGGAAACAAAGTCCTTAACCTCCTTTATACCATTTGAGTTCTTGAGGTTTTGCAAAGGGAAGTTGATTAATTTATTTATTAGGATAATTAATATTTGTATTAAGGGATACTGCTTATTTCATTGTAATGTTGTTATATGTAATAACTTTTTTTTTAATGAAGTTGTTCTGCAGAGTAAAATTCTACGCAGTTTTTAAATTTAACGTTTGGTGTTCCCTTCAGCCATTTTTCCGGTACATTTAAAAGTCAGACGAAGGCTGGCAGCGAAGCTGCTAGTGTCTAATAAGAAAGCTTCACCCTATTCTGTAACCTAAATCTCACCCGTCTTTATTGTTGTCTCTGCTACTCCGCAGGCCTCAAATCATCCATAAATAATTTCGGAAAGTGAATGTGCGATTAACGCAGTGAAATCATAGATCGAATGTCAGTTCTTGTTTCCTTCACTGTGGTTGGTCGGTTCTAATGTTGGGGTGGCATAAATTTCGACAGTTAGAAGGATGGCATTAATTTTATAAAAATAATTTATGCTCTTCAAGTAAGATAGGCACGGGGCTATTCTTTTTCAAATATTAAACATACTCTGAACCGCAGGTCACAAATTCATTGTTATTATTCATAAAATAAATAAATAATCAAAAAGGAAAGAACAGTAGCTCCCTGTATTACAGCGGAAGAGAAATTAAGGGATTGAAAAATCAGTATTTAGAAAATGATTTGTAAACATTTAAGAAAATTTTAGACGCACTAATCTGAAATACTGAATATTAATAATGCATAAAATTTATAAGATTATAAGGCATTTCTCTCACCTTCTTTGCGTGCCTTCGTGGTGTGGTGGTCTGCAAGCTCGGCCGGTATTCCAGATGTCCTTGATTCGATTCCCGGCGAAGACTAATTTTTCATCTTTCCTGCTTCCAAAAATACCTAATGTCTCTACAATGGCGCTCGAACTAAAAAAGGGTGTTGGATGATGATTCTCCTCACCCAAAATTTGGCGATTCGGTCCCCTAAAAACCCCAGTCAGCCTTAAAAGGGGGAGTATATAAGTTATTTCTCCCACCTTCTCGGTGTGCCTTCGTGGTGTGGTGGTCTACACGCTGGGCCGGAGCCTTCGTAGCATAGTGTAGTGGTCAGCAAGCTTGGCGCGTATTCGAGAGGCTCGTGGTTCGAGTCCCGGCGAAGGCGTTGCTCATTTTTCGTCTCTCCTGCTTCCAAAAAATACTTAATGTCTACAAATTAATTGGAAATATCAGTTAAAAATTTAATTAAATTTTTTATCATAATTTATGCAGTTAGAATCTCTTCTAGGCTTCAAATTACGATCTTGTTTTGTGAAGTGTTAATTAAAAAAATACAATTGGGGCTCTTTTTAATAGTCCCTAAAGAACGTTATAAAAAGTACATGCTAGACAGAGAGTGAATTCAATATACTATCATCAGCTGAGGAATATATTACAAGAATACTTATTGCCTCAACGAAACGTTTCGTAAATTACCAGAAATAAAGTGAAGAAAATTAAGTGAATTGACCAAACACTCTTTAACAAGCCTCCTGTTTTTTTATTATTTATTATTATTATTATTATTATTATTATTATTATTATTATTATTTTTTAAGACAACCAAATTAACTGTTTTGTTATAAGGAAATAGCGACCTTCGTGCAGAAAAGGCCTTTTAAAATGATTACTAAATAAGCGTATGCAAGAGTTGCTGTAATTGGTAGGAGTGGAAAACAATACATAGATCGCTTTCATCATCAATGTACTGTTTACAACAAAGAGCAACGAAGCTAAATAGTTAAAATTACTGCTCCGTAATTCATAAATTACTCTTAAGCATTTTCAATTCAATTCCTTATTTCCCTGAAGGAAATGGAAATTTTATTTTGTTTTCATATAAGCGAAAGCTTTGCTAACGTTTCCCGTACGCAGTTTTAAGGAAAGACATAATTTGTTTTGAAAGATTCGTTGGTATGTCAGTTGTGAAAAATATATCATATTTAGCAACATTATGAGGGTATTCCAAAAAAATTGCTTAGTTAGATATATTTGAATGATTTTTCGTAGACGTATGGCCCTGATTTAAGGAAGAATCAAATTAAGTAGACCGTTCTACTTCGATAGTTTTTGTCGCGTGATAACTTTCAGCAAAAATTTATGAAACTTCAAATTTTAAGTATCCTTTATGAGGAAAGTTCTGATCAGTTAGTTGTTGCTTACCATTTTGAAGACATCATTTTAGTACAAAATCGAATCATGGTCAACAAAGAACTCCGAATCTTAGCATTTCTACAAATGGAAAACTGAAATCCATGCTTTTTATTAATATATTTTGCCATAAAACATATGTGTTTAGAATTTTGCACTATAAAGCTTACATGCATGTGTGTACTTGCGTTGAGATGAAATAACTGAAGACATTTTTTTCGACTAATTCCACTATGAAATGGGTTGAAATATATTTAAGGTTTTAATTGCTTTCAATTAATGGAATTTTTTGTCCTAGAGGATGAGAAAACATTACAATTTAAGAGGAAATATTTATTGCAACTATTTGGTTTCGCGATTTTGAACGGTTCATTTTAAATATAGGATGTTATGTTGTGTACCTTTAATTTCTGGGGAATTACTTCCTAAACTAATACATATAAAGTAATAGCGTAATACTGTTTCAGGTTATACCAAGATCAGATTGTATTTTTTTTTTTTTTTACCTTATTTTTTTTATTTTTTACCATTTTTACTTTCTTGTACACTTCGTACAAGAAAGTAATCTTGTACAAGTACTTTCTTGTACCCTTCGTACAAGAAATAAAGGAAGTACTGTCATTTCGAAAATATTCTGGAAATTATATCATATTTCAATGAAAATATCTATCTTAACCATTCCCCAATTCATTTTAACTAGTTTTTTTTGGATGATGTCTGAACTTAAGGATAGAATAGAGGACTTTTTTCCAAAACAGATTATAAAATGGATCGTTTTTGTGACTATGTACATATGTATGTATAATCTCGCATAACTTCAAAATGATTAGCCGAAGAATGTTGATATTTTATATATAGTACTGCTTCAACATCTAGTTGTGCACCACCTTTTTATTGCAATAGGTAGTGCTAAACGTTTATGTATGTTATACATTATATATTTATATATTATAGAGATCGTATTGCGGTCATTAATAAATATTAAATTCTATAAAGTAACTATTTTCAACTTCTGTGCTTCAGACCTCTCTAACCATTGCTAAACCATGGTCTTACCTAGCAATAAATTTACCCTTATATAGCTAATGCCACTTATGACACTTATGCCACAGTGTTAATGCACGCTACTGCAGTGATTTCTCGTCTTAAATGATTTTAAATAAATCAATTTTTAGCATACGCTGTTTGAAAAATAAATCGCTAAATTAAATACGATGTGTATTTATGAAATAAGTTTTTAATTCGGTTAGAATTACATCTAACAAATTAAACTAATTCAGAAGATGGGGGAATAAAGCCTTGTATTTTCATAGTTGCCTAACCTGTTGTCTAACCTAAAACGTAAACGCCATAGTTGCCTAACCTAAAACGTTGGTTTGACAAAGGCTTCTTCAACTGCAGGAGACCTACATTGATTATTTTTACTTTAGTACTTCCATTGTGAAAATAATATAACTATCTTTTAATTATTTTCACAGAATAAAATCTTTTGAGATGGAAGCATATTTAAAATAAGCACTTCTTATATACACTGCTGGCCACCGTAAATGCTACACCCTGAAGGAAGCATGCAAATAACATGAAGTTTACAACATGCATTAGCGGAGGTGAGATATGCAAATGATTAGAATTTCAGCAAGGACGCACATCACGCGCGCCTGTGGCGCCACTTCAAAGCGCTATTTAAGGCTTGGAGTTTTCGACGATTTCAAGTTCGACAATTGTGTTTTTATCGTGTTTTTAAAAAAAAAAAAAAAAAAAAAAAAAAAAAAAAAAAAAAACCCGATTAATTATGACTCGTAGTAAACAGCGATCATCGTTTGATCAAGGGTCCGAGTTCGACAGAGGAAGGATAGTGGCCTACCGAGAGTGTGGATTATCTTTCAGAGAAATCGGCAGTCGTGTTCGACGAAACCAAACAACTATAATGCGGATATGTGACCATTGGATGTAGGAGGGTACGACAGACCGACGTGTTCGATCGTATCCATCTCAGTGCACCACTTCACATGATGACAGCAACATTGTGCGCATGGCAGTGACGGATCGCTCAGTCACATCACGAACCATAGAACCGCACATTCAGTCTGTGCACTATCTAGTGTCTGCGAGTACCATTCGACGCCGTTTACAGCAGAGTGGTCTGTCCGCAAGACGTTCATTGCTTTGTCTACCCTTGACGCTGAACCACAGACGTCTCCGCCGCCAATGGTGCGATGAAAGAAGGATGTGGACGATAGAATGGAATGAAATTGCCTTTACTGACGAGTCACGCTTCTGTCGTCTGCAACACCACGATGGTCGGATTCCAGTCTGGAGACACCGTGGAGAGAGGATGCTGAACAGCTGCGTTATGCACCGCCACACTGGTCCTGCACCGGGTATTTTGGTATGTGGCGGTATTGGATTGGATCACTCTCGCATTCCTCTAATACGCATTGCCGGTACTTTAAACAGCCAGCGCTACATCTGTTGGAGCCAGTTGTCCTTCCTTACCTTCAGGGCTTGCCCACAGCCATACTTCAGTAGGATAATGCGCGAGCACACGTGGCACGCATTGTCCAATGGTTCTTCGAAATTAGTGAATCTCCAGATTGAATTGCTTACCCGTCCGGCTCGCTCTCCGGATCTTTCGCCGATAGAAAATACGTGATCCATGGCTGCTGAACGATTGACCTAGATTACATCCCAAGCTGCCACACCAGATCAACTTTGGCAACGCGTGGAAGCTGCTTGGTCTGCTGTACCCTAAGCTGCACATCCTCATAAAATCAATAAAATATAGAAGAATAGGATCAATCCTCATAGAACACAAATCTCATAGAATCAATGCCGAGGTGTGTGGCAGCGGTGATCTCCATCAATGGCGGCTACTCTGGCTACTGATTTTGAAAGGAACCACACTTCACAGATGTCTATAAATTTAATCATTTGATACTTGGTCAACATGTTTATCACCTAAATAAATTTTGCTCTGATATCTCTTTTCTTTCTTGGTGTTGCAATTTGGGTGGCCAGCAGTGTATATAAGAAATAAAAATAGCAGCAATGTAACATTAAAGAAAAGTATTACTAATATATGCATGACAAAAATTGCAACACGAATTAATCACACATACAGAATAGATTAGTATTATTTTGGTTATATGTTTTATATTGAAAATTATTTTCTTTCATGTTAATTATAAAATAAATTATGTAAAATAAAAGATTTTGATGTATGTGTGATAGCTGAATGCAGCAGTAATCGGCCATACTGTAATAACGAATGAATTTTATTTCTTTTCCTGAAAGAAATAATTTTCATAGAAACAGAAAATAAAAGAAAGGAAGAAACATTAAGAAAGAAATATTTTCTTTCTCATTTCTTACTTAAAGAAATATTTTTCTAATATTAACTGTGAAATAAATTACGTGAAATCAGTTTTAATGTAAGCATGAAAAATAAAAAAAAATATAAAAAAACTCAGTGTGCTATTAGATTGCAATGCAAATTAATCATATTATAAATTTAAATGATTAAAATTATTTATTTCTATAAAGATTTTTCTAAAAGATTTTTTAAGCTTAATTTATTTACTCTTATCTATTAACCGTTGCTTTCATTGTATCCCACATCTCTCTTTATTTCTTAGCCCTAAATTCCTGCGTTAACTTTCCCCCTTAAAAAAGGTAATTTTCCTTCATATAAACACAGCTGCATATTCTGCTGCGTTTTGGTCATAATACTGTTTTGTGCCATTTTTTCGAACAACAAATGCAGCGTGTGGCGCTATAAATGTCGTCACTCGTCTTTTCTGCAATTGGTCTAAAGCTCCTTGTCCCCTTTCAATAAAGTCAAATGGACTCACCCTCCCACCAACTGAGGAACCACAGAATGGCTTTCTCCGTTAAGTCAAAGAACGTCTATGTAAAGAAGGAAAGACTCCATAGACATAATGTAAACCAGTCTTCTACGCCGCTAGACAGAAGAGGGAAATTTCGCCAAGGGATTTGGCGACGGAACCTGTTGGCGAGAAATCCATATCGCAGTTTGATGTCTGATTTTATAGCCGTCAATATGGAGGGGGGGAAATGGAGTCACAGAGCTTTAAACTCTTTATAAACGTGACCGTCGAACCTGTTCGATATTCGACATCAGCTTCAAGCTTTGGCGCTTTTTGGCGACGGATGTTTCACGCATGCGCAGCTGTTTCCCTTTTCGTTCGAAGGGAGCCACTCCTGCTGCTGAGAAGTTTTCCTTCTTAACAATACATATTATTTGGTTAAGTCGGAGACGGCTGTCTGTTTCACTTAAGTAGTAGGAGCCAGTGATCGTAGAATATGCATCCTGGGTTCGATTGCAGGCAAACGGACTGGCTGCATGAGCGTTTTCCCCACGTGTAACGTGTATATGAGCCAGTTTCCTTTAAAAAGTCCTCCAGGATAGCATTCCTTCCTTTAGGCAAATAGCCCTAGTGTTCTTTGCCGTAATTAACTAAACCTTGTTTAATAACTAAAGTATTATTTTTACGTAGCATTTTCACTGGTTTAAGAACATTATAGATATAGAAATCAAGAAATAATTTTTAGTATATAGATGGTTGAAAATCGGTTATACAAATAGCGAACTCAAGCTGGTTTATGAATGGATCTTGAAAGCGTGCGGATTTTAAATAGCAAGTACTGCTTAAGAACCCAGTTGATTAGGAGCAGATTATAGAGGACCCTGACTTACCCAAACTTTTGGGGGCCTTTCATAAAGTATGTTTACTATTTTTTAAAACTTGTTGGTGGCCTCATCGAACGCGAGGCGCCTTGCATTTGCCAGTTACGTGGCAATATTACCCGTTTCCGCAAATAATCAAATAAGCTTCCTGTAAAATAGGCTTCAATAAGCTACGGATTCAAACAAGCTAGGTAAAATTGTGAAAGCGTTTACATCTTGGAAACCTGGCAATCATCTTGGAAATCTGGTTAAATAAGCAATTTGAGACGCTAAGCAAAACGTCATGAAAGATCCTGATTCCCTTCTGTGTTAATTAACAATTTCTATTTTATAATACAATTGTCATTTTAATAATTTAATTAGTTAACCATCATTAAGAAATGGCCATTAATCTAATTCCTGGCCTTATGCTAGTTCCGGAAAAGAGTCCACCAGGCCCCGTTCTGCACGCTCACTGTCGCTTCCCTGACTGGGTACAAGGCAAATGGGAAGGGATGCAAGTGCAAGGCAACGTTATTGTCTACAAGGACCACTCTAGACTACAGCGGTATTCACTGACGTGTCTTAGAAGAGAAAATGGCATCTCTGAAGACAGGTTCATCGTATTCTCCTCAACTCATTGGTAAGTGCTTATTTTAGTTTTAGCTCTTCTTCTGTTCTAAGTATTGGATTTGTTTTTGCATGTTTTAACTCTTTTTTTTTTTTTTTTTTTTTTTTTTTTTTTTTTTTTTTTTTTTTTTTTTTTGTAGAGCTGATTCTCAAGAAATGTAAATTTAAATTGCAATATATACCTTTCTAATTATGCAATTGTAATGAATAAATTAAAAAAAAATTAAAGAACTGCGAGAGTTTAAAAATTAAAAAATGAATAACGTACTTTAAATCATCGAAAAAAAATTCAGTGTGTTATGTGTTTTTAAATTACAGAGTGTTTAAAAATGAAAGAAACTACTTCGTAACTAGATATTAACTTATTACAAAGTAAGTAGTTGTAATCAAAGAGCAGAGGTGTTATCACCGAGTGGTTGTCATGCAAAACCATTGCTTAAGTTGTCAGGACTTGTATGTCTTTTAATTTGTTTCGGGAATATTGCCTGTCCTGAATAGGAACAGGGAGCTTACTCAAGGCATGTTCAAATATGTGTGGAATGGACGACACAAGGAGGAAGAGTTAACGTTACCCTTTGTTGTCCACGATATTACAGGTGTTCCCGCACTTCGGGATACAAAGACCAACCGCTTGTGGTCTAAACGTAAAAATACAAAAACTACTAACTAACTAAAAATAAGAGTTAACTTCGAGTGCTTTACACAAATGACTAACACTAAGACTGGCCTTTTTAAATTATCACGTATATAGTACGCACACTGCTGAATCTACAATACGTTTTAAACATCAAGAGGACTAAACCTCTGGCCTTAAAGACAGACACCAGTTGATTGAAAAACTCGTGCTGAATGCAGTGGCAAGGCAGCTCACTTTTGCTCTCTAACTCTTGGCAAAAAGCCACAACTTAAATACTTGGGCGTTAGCAAGTACAATTTGCATAAACAAGTTAACGCGTTTAATTCTGGTCGGAAGTGGGAAATAAGAGAAGACAGTCTAAGTTTTAAAATAAAATAAACGTTAGTAAAACTTAAGATCCTTACAAAGTAAACTATCGCAAAGTCCGCCACTGTCCAACTGAAAATCTATCCATCATTGCATTGGTTATGCTTCTGCCAACAAGTTCTGATTTTTTTCTGAAGAACCGCCTAACATTTCATCCTGTGAAAAATGTCAAGAATGTTGTGTATGTTTTTAACCTTGTAAAGTCTGTGTCTCTTTGGGAACATAGACTTTTAAAAAAAGAAAATTGATGCATTGTCTTCTACTCTTGTGAAACAAAGCAGAAATCAGAAGAAGGGTGTATAAGACCTTTTTGTTCAAGTATAAAATTAACAATTATTATTAATTTTCGGGGAAGCTATCTCACAGCGGCTGCTTATTTCGTAACACTATAATAATAAATTAAAATAAAATATAGGACACAAGTCCATGTCAGTTGATTTGATGGCTCTCCAGATTAAGACAGTTTGGCGGCCTGGGAACAGCGTTCTTATGGAAACACCAAGCTCATTCCATTTATATTACGAAAGGATGGGATTGTGAAATACTGGAAATTTACATTTTCTTCCTTGCGGCTGCGCTGAGCAGAAGTATATAATCTCGCAGAAGAAACCTTCCGATGTGTACGTATATACGTACGTATACGTATACGTATATACGTACATATATACGTACGTATGTCTGTTTAGAAAAGATGGATGGCAATTTTAAAATTCCACATCGTACGCGTATCGACGCAGCATCAATGAAGTTCATCGAAAAAAGCAACAAAGCAACTTGCAGTGTGCGAAAATTAGTGCTTTCTGAGTTTTTAATTAATATCTTGGCTGATTAAAATCACATTAAAGATCAAAATGGTCGAAATGGCTTCCCGAAAATTCTTGGAATTCGGGGGCACCTCTCTCGAAACTTAACTTCCCGACGTTCCGGAGGAGATGATGTTACAAACAAACAAAGAAATAGACAGAATCACACAGATTTTAATGGCATTAATTATTATTTTACTATCATGTATTTTAAAGGATATATTTAAATATATTCGATAATATAATGCTTTTTAGCAGATTAAAAAATATCACTGAAGCACCGAATTTCTAATTTTGAGTTTGCCTTACTTAGCATTACTTGATACTGATTTTGTGTTAGTGAAGGAATAAAAGATGAATTAATTTGAAGTTGTGGACTTAATTATCTGTATAAGCTAAAAATCGCTGATTTAAAAATTTAAAAGTAATCAAAATTTTAAATCGAGTTGAAATCGAGGTGAAAATTTTAAATCGAGTTGAAATCAAAATTTTAAATCGAGTTGAAATCGAGGTGAAAATTTTAAATCGAGTTGAAATCAAAATTTTAAATCGAGTTGAAATTTTAAGAAAGATAATAATAAAAAGGTGTTTTATCCTTCAATAAAATAAAATGAGATTTTTTCTAATTATAACACTTGTCTCTTTAAGCAAACGTTGATATGCGTTTCGTTCTTAGATCGGACTTAAAATTTCCTTTACCTTTTTTTTTTTGGGGGGGGGGTTACTTTTTATTGCATCAATTTTTCTTTTCTTTTTTTTTTCCATTGGTGGGCATAAAGCCGATTTATGTTTGGCCACTACTAGGCCGCCTTATTGTGGAAGTACGTAACAGGTAGGCCATCGTTACCTCCTATGAAGGGACAGACAGTCATAACAGTTATGCCTTCTCTGGGATTCGAACCCAAGCCCTTCGGTATTGCGTTAGGTTCCCGTACCTATTATACCGAATGGGCGGTGATTGAGTAAAATATAATTTAGCTAAATGTTTATATGTATATTATAATTCAATGAACTGAGCTAATTACTAAAAAGAAAAAAATTTTTTTATACTTCCGCTCTCCTGCCATCTCCTATTTAAAACATTAGCAATTACCTAATTCACTTCGTTAAGAAAATGTCTTAATTTTGTACACATAATTTGAATTTCTCAAAACCATATTGCCTTTCATTAAATGATTTTAACAAGCATTACAACTTACTGTTTTTCGTAATAGTAAGTGTTTAAAGTTATTATTAGCCCAATGGGGCAATGTGCTCAGAAGGGGTACTATTTTCGTTTTGGAATTTTGCGTTGTCCACTATAAAACGACGTTTCACTTTTCAAATTGTTGCCACCAAATATTAGAGCCCTGCATTATATTTAAGGAAATTAAATGATGAAAAATCTGCCTGAAAGTATCTATGTTTCTCTCATTTTGAAAAAACAACGGTACCTAGAGACATCAAATTCTGAATAACGTAGACCTCCACTCGAATATGGGCATCTGGAAGCCCAAATTTGGAATTCTGAATTTGTTTTGTTATCTTTTTCACATTTTGTAAAACTTTAACGAATTTTTGATTAATAAACTCAACGATTTCAAAGCGAGCAATGACAACACTGTGCTGAAAGAAAAACATTTTTATATCCGGCGCGCGAGATATGCTCTTTTTAAATATTTTGTAATACTGCTGTTGGACTTAATTTTGTGATTTAAGTGCGAAGAACATGATATTTAATAAAAAATGGTAGCACACAAAACGTTAAACAAAAGGTCCCTTTGAGCGTAATATAAGATTTAAAAAAAATTTTAATTAAAATTTATATGATTATTTTATTGCATTGTAGTTCATTTGTTAATTTTTAAAATTATTTTTAATGCAGTGGAGAAGAATCATACAACTGTGTTTGGTTGAAGCGGAGAAGTTTGAATGTTATGGAATTTCAAATAGGTAATTTCTGTTTTTTATTTACATACTAACATAACTAAAATAAATTTTGCTGATAATAACTTTGATCTGTAAAGATTTTCTTATGATCGTTTATTTAATTTTTTAAAAATAATTTAATATTGGCAAAACTATTTCATTTTATCAGCGTAAGTTGAGCATAATTCATGACGTAATTTTGAAATCTGTTAATTTTTTTTTATTTAAAACTAATTTAAAAATATAAATCAAATTAAAAATTCAGTCACTAAGTGTTACTTTTTATATGTCTTACAAGTTGCAATGAATATAAAACAAAATCTAAAATCCTTATCATAAACTACACATTAATCATAATTATGTATTTGTTCGCGAAATTTTTATAATAATGATAAAAAGAATAATTTGCCAAAGTTGGTTTAATTTTCTTTTCAAGCTGTTACAACTTTCAAAAACATTTCTGTTTTATCTTATAGGTTCCCAGCCTAGTCATTTATACTCTGACACGCTATGCCACGACCTGCAATTTAATGATGATACATGGACTACGCAAGGAAGTAAGTTTCGATCCATCATTGTTGCCATTCTCTATTTGCATAATAGTTTCACTCATCACGTGCTTATCTCTTGATATACGTACGTGATGAAGTGAAACAAAAGAGCTGATTTCGAAATTCTTTGTGACTGACGTTTTTTTTTTCGGGGGGGGGGGGGGGGAAGGAATTATAATGTGTAAGATTATATTTAATTATTTCTCAACGTTTAAAATTATATAATAATATTTGAAAAAATGTGTAATAATACAAATTTCAATCTTCGGCTGGTATTGCTTCCTTGTACGAAGTAAAGGAAGTATTATAATCGCGAAAAATTTCGGGTGTCATATTTCAACGAAAGTATCCATTTTGACCGCTATCGAATCCACTCGAACGATGTTTTTACGTGACATATGTACGTATCGACAGATTAAAGAGATTTTTTTTTTTAAAACAGATCGTGAAATGGATTTAAAATTTATTCAGAACAGATTTATTAGTGAGATCTTTACGTACGTATGTATGTATCTCGCATAGCTCAAAAGCGAGTAGACTCAGAACATTTAAATTTTGTATCCAGGACTCCTACAACATATAGTTGTGTACCTACGTTTTTGGTTGCAATCGGCCGCACCAAGCGTGCATACATACATATATACATACATTAAAAAAAGTAATTAAAAGTAAATTAAAAAGCCTTAAAAACTTGCCAATAATTAATAATAATTTATAATAAGAAATCTTTCCATATACCATCTCCAAGGAACAGAAATTAAGTTTAAAACCATGAAAGAAAAAATTTTTAAGAAGGAAAATAAATATATACACACCCACTCTATTACCCGTCTCAGTGACTCTCTGTCTGTGGGTAACATGTTTTTGCTTTAAAAAGTGATTGAATTGTGTTATTCTTATGTTCCGGCTAGGTTTTTATGCATTTAGTTAATCTGCATGCAATAGTTGTAGATTTAACAACAACTTAAAATTGTTTTAGCGGTACTAAGCCTAACGAGGCTGCCATTTGTTTACATTTGAAACTCTTAGGCCCATATCACACATGCATTTGTTTCATACAAACAACTATTTCCGACAATTTTTCTGCCTGGTTTGCGCGATTTTTCCTTCCTTTTTGCAAGTTGTTCGTTTTCAGCCAATCCGCTATCAGCTTGTTTGTAATGGAGAACCAGTTTCTCCTTTACATGTTAACCCTAAAGTGATCTGTGTTGATTGGCTGTTGCGACAAAGCAGAAAAATTATTTCAAACAGTTGTTCTTCCGAAACAAAGGAATGCGTGATGGTAGTCTTAGTAGAATAGTGAATGAAGTCAGTTTGTGCACCAACTTCTGTGTCTTTTAGCCGCGTGGGACCAAAAGTAAACTTGCAGTTTTGTGCACCGAAAAATCTGTTTTCCTGCATTGAAAAAATTGTAAAAATTGTCTTTTTTTTTAACTGTATTTGGTGTTTTATGTTAAAAAGCTGCTTCAGATGTTTTTTTTATTTTCAGCCAAAGTTAACCTCTAATTAAAGAAGTCTGTGTTAAATCTACTAATTAGAAGGTAATGAGGGCTTCAGTAAAAATGGCAATTGAATATTTAATCTAATACAAAACGACTATGTAGTTGAAAGTAGAACTCTGTCTTTATGTCTAATTTATTTAGTCCTTCTGCTAACCTTCATAAACTAAGATTATAAAGTCAAATGAGAGAATAACTGGAAAAATGAAAACGTTAATCTTATGCTTGTATGTCCAATTGAGAAACACTTCCTTTGAATTCGGAGCTCTGAGGAAATATACATGTATGCCAATTCTCTAATTGTATCCTAGAGACAAGGTAAGAATTTACAAAAATAAAATAGCTGGATATTTATTTTTTCAGGAGTATTTGTCATTGCCAGAACAACAGATAAACAAGTTTGGTTTAATGTATGTACGTATGTACGTATATTGTAAAAATGTTTTAAATCTGAATGAAAAAATTCTTCCAAGTTAGTGTTTTCATACTACAAGCGTTTAATTAAAAATCTATCTTCTTGCTTTTATTCTTTTTTGTTCTGAATCCCTCAAAGATTGAATTTTAAGTGTTAGTCGTTTCTTTTTGTAAGAGTGACGGGCATTTTTGAAAACTAAAGTCATTATGTAAAGCAAACTAGAAAGTTCTTTTGAATTCGCCATAAAAGAATTAGAAGTTGTATTATTTTTATCATTGATCTTTAACCTTACTTTCAAAGAGAATGCAGAACAATCCAATAAATCAATAAGAGACAGTAATCCATTGAGAACATTCTGGATTTAGTAAAGACCTACTTAAAAGAAAGGCCATTTTAACTGAAAAAACAGTAATGTCTAATTTAATTCAGCATCACGTATTTTATGAGCCAACATGCAAACGACTGAATTTTAAGAAGAATTTTAAATATAATTCTTAAGTGCTTTTATAAACGAGAACGTATTAATCTCAATATTGGCATAATATTGCAAAACGCATTCAGATTTTGCCATATGAATTGGTGTAGTCCTATAATCTTTATATTTGCATTTTTAGGAGTTAAATCAAGTCAGATGTTCCCGTGTCCCATCACTGGAGATTATACCGGCATATTGCCCGAAAATCCTGGTTTGTGCGCCAAAGTAGCGTCTGATTGTAATAACCCAGACGTCATGTTCTACACCGTCAGCAACTGCGAAAACAAGTCACAGATATTCGAAGGTACGTATCCGGGTACTTTGTTGACAAAGATTCTCAATCGTAATTATTAGCGTAAAAGAGTTTTTTGGAACAATGTCTTCGAACAAGGATATTAAAAGTAATCTTACATTTCTGTCTGTTTGTGATGGTTTTATTGTTTGAGAATTGAGTTGCTTTAAACGTTGTTAGATATTTCACCACTGTGAGGGAAATGTTTGCATTTTATTTTTAATGCAAATCCTTTAAATTATGCGCAGTGTAATATTCGAGCGTATATAATGACTGTCACAATGAAATTTTTTTGATTTACAAAATTTATTGTAGTGCTGTAATAAAAAAAAATTTAAAATATTACATTAATATATTTCTGTAGGCAATTACAAACTTTTCAAACTTCAGCATGTGGAAAATATTGCAGGCTGCTGAGATTTAAGACATTCACAATTTACTTCTCTGCTCTTAAAAAGAGCTTATGATTTACATTAAAAATAGTAGAACATCAATTTAATATTAAATCATTTATCATTTCTAGCAGATCTTACCATTAATGAACCATATTTGACGCGAAAATCCGCTGGGGAACTTTTTATTTTCTTACTGATGCTTCAATATTTCCTCAAACTGAAAAAATGGTTTTTGGTGTTTGCTTTATAGTTGCAAGTCATACCATGTTCGATCAGATTAAAATCTGAAAGTCCATTTCCAAATTTTGCTTACATATGCACCCACAGAAGAAAAGAAATAAAATTCAAGATAAATTAATATTTAAAGTTTAATTTGAACAATGCATTACATAAAGACTTACATAAAAACTTAACTAATTTAGCTGTGTCACTGCCCACTTTAGGCAGATTTGCAAACTAATTGTGGGTAAAATAATCTCAGGGTAACGGACTTGACATGAAGTGGAAGTCAAATTTTATTTTTATTGATTTGCTAAAGAAGAAAACTTCTGTATTTAATTTTGATCAAGACTATAACACATTAGTAATTCATATTCAAAATAATTAAACTTCTTTAGTTAAAAAAATAAATTAGGTTACAAAACGAAGAAGTTGAATAACATAAAACTTGAAACGGACAGGCATTTTTGTCTATGATTATATTTTTTAAGATTTATATCTAAAAAATTTCAACCGAATTTTATGTTTTAAAGTGTAGAAATATATTTATAGTCATCTTTATGCAATGCATTACTCAAATTAAACATTAAATATTAATTTGTTTTGAATTTTCTTTCTTTTCTTCTGCTAGTACAGCATACGTAAGCAAAATTTGAAAATAGGCCTGAAACATTTTACAGTATCGTTATTCCATGAAATTTTCTCTTTCACAAAAATCTTACACAAAAAATCTGGAGAAGCTGGTGTGATAATAAGACACGCACAGAATTAGCACGTTCATAAAATACTTACACAGAATAGCATGCTCAAAAAATATAAGTAGAATAAGCATGTTTCAAAGAAACACCCAAAGTTCTGGATCTGTGTCACATATTTCTGAGAAATTACTATCTCCTTCCGAAGGATTTAAAAAATGCTTCAGACATTGTCTTTTGCTTATTGTCATACGAGATTTACTTTGAAATTTTTGAGATAAAAAGTTTTTTTTTTTTTTTTTTTTTTTTTTTTTTTTTTAAGTAGTCTCCTCTAGCATCAAGGCTCTTCTTTAGGTAAATTTTCTAAAGATTAAATGCCTCAAGCCATTTATTCCAGGAAATCGATGAAAAAAATGCATTTATAGCCTCATCAATCTCATCTTCGGAAGAATGAAAACGACGAAACGAACCGAAGTTCTTTTTCAAATTAAAAAACAGCCAAAAGTCACACATAGTATATCGGCTGAATAGTATACACATAGTATATCGGCTGTTTTACCATTTTGATGTGTTTTTCTTCAAGAGAAACTTAACTGTCAATCTTGCTGAATGAGAATATGCATTGTCATGGTGGCCATGCGTCCTCTAACATTCACTTTTTGAAGAATTTCTGGAAGATACTTATATATGTGCCAGTTAGTTATGACTGTATTCTGTCCTTCTGGCTTGTTGGTTTTTGACCAGTCCTGTACTTCTGAAGAAAACGACATACAGTAAGACCCCGCTTAACGCGGGGGATACGTTCCATCGAAGTAGAGCGTAATGCGAAACAGCGCTAAGCGAGGCTATCTTAACATGTAAATAATGGGGTTAGGGGAAGACGGATAAAAAATGGTTTTAGGCATTAAATTTAATAATGTTTTTTTAATAAAAATAAAATCAAACATTTATTTCTTACAAAAATAAAAACAATATAAAACGCATATACTTTTAAAAACAAATAAAATTCTCAGTCAGATCATTCAGTCTATTCTGGGTTTCCAATTTTCTGCCTTTTGTGAAGAAGGCATTATGATAGATTGGCTTAATGGCATATTGCGTTCAATTCGTCGTCAATCCATATAGACAGTCGTTTTCCATTTCCTCTATATGTTATTTCTAGAACGGGTAATTCTAGTTGCAGAGCTTGACGTACTTGCAGTTGCCGATGACAGTATTTTTTTTTATTCTTAAGAATTGTCCTATTGTTGAAGTTGCCAAAATCAATGCAGCACTAATTTGAGATTGACGTTCACCAGAATCTAATCTTCTAATCACTTGCATTGAGTTTCCGCAGTGAAATGCTTTTTCTGGTTGCTTTCTTTTCTTGTTTTTTATCATCACCCATGATAAAAACTAAAGATCATAATATTTGTCACTGTATTATTAATCGTTATAGTATTATATATCAAATTTACAATAATGTCAACAAATGTTGTTTCAAATGATAAAAAGCAAGAAACACAACTACACTGTTTCGGATATGTATTTGGAAACCTAGCGCTGCGCACAATTTCGGAGAATCCCCGGGTTGAAATAAAAGAGCGCTAAACCGAAACAGCGCTAAACGAAACAGCGTTAAGCGGGGTCTTACTGTACATTGCTTTTTCATGGCATTTTGACTTTTCACCATTGCGGGCGTGGGATCATCTGCAAAGACATTACTTTCTTGATGTGTTGGAACGTCAAAAAATGGTATGCACGTTTCAACACCAGTTAGGATTTTAGAAATAATGCGGTAGCCACCATCTTTACGAAATATAAGGGTTTCTTTCCGGATTATGACACGATTCTCTCTCTCTCTCTCTCTTTTTTTTTTTTTTTTTTTTTGTGCTCAGTGTAAATATGGGGAACCCAAAGGCAAGCTAGTTTTTTTATATGCGATTCTTCACAAATATTTATACGTATGATTGCGGATCATCCAATGCTACTTAACTTCTGTAGCATTTGGTAGGTGCAACAATTATTATCGATAAACATTTTCCGTGTAGCAGACATACTGTGCGGTATTACTGCTGACAACGGCGCCTTCCTGCGTGTTCTTCATCCTGAATAAAGTCGAGACCTTTGTGAAATTCTGTAAATCACCCGAATACAATAGCATGAGATGGACAAATGTTAGCTGTAGACGTTGAACGCATTCTCCTTGATTTAATCCCACTTTAAAATCATAGCACGATGATGTTCTTACATGATCTGTGTTTTCCTTCTGCCTAAAATTTATTCTGCGCAAATCTACTGGCAACTGTCCGGTAAAACGTCTTCTGCTAGGCTAAAGGTATATCATATTTTCAAATTTAACCGTTAACTTTTTTTCTACTACTTATCTGCGCGTATTTCAAAAATTTCCGAGTGACCCTCCCATGAACATATGATCAGCAAGTGAAGTTGTGCTTTATGCAAGAAAAGCTCTTCCTATTCTTCGCATTGTGAAGTAGGGAATACGGAACATCTCGCTGTTAGCTTTTAAAATATATTTAGTGAACCGAATCATGATCGCATCTCTGACGGGATGACCCACCTATCTTAATGGATTTTCATTGTGAAGACTTAACAACTATTTGCTAAAGGGACCAATGACTTAACTCTTTTCAGTATTTTGTTGAATCAAGGCGCAAAGTGCTGCCAATTCAGCGTTCGCTGTAACTTTTGCCCATTCGAAAACGGTAAGTACGATAACAGGATTACTATACTAACCATACCACTAAAGGCCTTTTTGGGAAGATTGCTTTAATTTACTTTTAATTTTTAAGAGGAGGTGGTATTATACAAAGGTTAGTGATTGTGCTGCTGACCACAATTTTTAGCTCGGGTGGTAGTTTTAGAGACAAGAGAAGTTTAAGATCCTAAAATCTTAAAAAAAAAAAAAAAAACCGCCGTACTTTTGCAAAGATTCGAATACGGGTTCTTTGAACAAGTCGTTATATTAATTTTTACGCATGAATAAATCCATAATCAGCATTAGCGAGATTTCTTCAATTTAGGTACTACTTAATATTTCATTATTGTCCTAAGAGGTATTTTCTTCCTCCTCTCCGCATGCCTTCGTGGGGTAATTGGAAGCATTTTCGAAGCGTATTCGAGAGGTCCAGGGTTCGAGTCGCGGCGACGGTATTGGACATTTTGTGCACGTCTCCTACTTCAGAATAAGCTGATGGCTCCACAAGTGGCACCCGAACTAAAAGTTGGTGGAGGCTAATTCGTCACCACCAGGATTTGGTGACTGGGTCCCCTTATTTCCTGTTGCCTTTAAAAGGATATTTTCTCCCATGTCTTCGTAGTGTAACTGGATGCACATTCGAGGTGTTCAGAGTTATTTCCGGTGAGGGTACTGCACATTTTTCACGTCTCGTCTTCAACTTAAAGTCTCTGCAGTCCTTATGAGACGTTCTTGGAATAAATTTTAGGAACTTATATAACTAATACGAAAAACATTTCACAGCTTTAATTTAACACTAAAAATTTTTGTTGTTGCTGTTTTTGTCGTGTCCTTATCCATGTAATTTCGTGGAAGAATTGTTGCCAGAGTCTAAAGGGGGTTCGACTTCTACTTTCCACCCCAATTTTGATGTATAGCATCACAGAGGGTAAGCCTAGGGTTTCCCACTTCTCTGCTTTATCACCAACCCACATGAGAGAATTTTCGGTTCACCGTATATTTAGA